CCCCACTCTTTACCAGATTCCCTTCCCTGGGACACAGCCGTTGCTCACTTCCTGTTTGGTCCCCAGAGGCTTCGGCCTGCATCCCTACCCAGTTCTCCTGAAGGGCCCTCCCTGTCCCAGAAGTCTCCCTAACTTGAATGATAAATGGACATCCCTGGCCTTCCTGAGATCCCCTATTGGGCCCTTTGAGCCCCCTTGTCCCACACACACCATCCCACCACCCCCAGCCATGCCCCACGCCTTGCCTGGTGGGTGCGGGGTCCCCCTCAGCAGGTGGGCTGTGGCTGGGGGGCATCTCCCGGGACAGGGGGGGCGGCCCCCCCCAGATGGGTCTGCATGTGGCCGGCCAGCTGGGCAGGGGTCTTGCAGTGCACGCTGCACAGCTTGCACAGGATGCGGTCAGCCCGCGGGGCCTGGAGCCCATGGTCCTTCACCGCGTGGATGCGCAGGTATGCTGCCGTGGTGAAGCCTATTGGGGGGTGGGGTGGATTGGGATGGGGGTATGGGGTCAGCCAGATGGAGACCCCAGAGACGGGGCTGTTCTCCTAGGCTGGGGACACCCTCCTCAGATGGCTCTGTCCTCCTCCCACCACATCCTTGGTAACCTGGGGCCAACTACTCTACTGGGGCTGATAGAATACAGCCCCTCCCTAAGCTTGGGACCTGGTTGAGTAGTGTCCATTTCTTGGTCTTTGCACTCAAAAAACCCATTCTCCGTGGCTGGGGGATCTTTAATGGGGTGACAGGACACTGATTCCTAGCCACTTGAAGGGTTGACCCTTGGCAGAGACGGCTGTGTCCCCTCCCTCCAGTGCCCCATACAGTCTCAGCCCAGTTACACAGTGAATAAGCAACTGTTTTAAAAGCAGCTTTCTCTGCTACTGGGGCAGGGTGTGTGCTTGTGAAAGCCCTGCGAATATACTCCACTTGCCGGAAAAGCCGAAGATGTAAACTTTTGGCTGCACAGATGAAACCTTGTACTCCAACCCCTGGGCTCTGGCTCTCTTGACCACTCCTTCCCCAAAGCAGCCATATCCCATTCCCATTCTCCCCCCACACACCCAGAAGTTGACTCTTTCTGGTAGATCATCTCTTCCAACCATGACCTCTTAAAATTTAATGACGTTCAACGGTCCTAATGTTGCTTCATTTGCTTCCTAGAGGGCTCTGGGTGCCATGAGCTCTCAACTAAAGCACTTTAAACTCACATCTGTGGAAGGGACTCTGGCTTCGTCCCCACCCTTTTTGTCCCTGGCCCTCCCAGCATCCCTCAGCATGTACCTTTGTTGCAGAGCTCACAGACATGGTGAGGGCCCTGGCTGTGCACCTTCATGTGGTCCGAAATATAAGCCGAGCTCAACATCTTGCCACATACGTGACATGGCACCTTCTCCTCATGTCGTACTGTGTGCGCCCGCAGTCGATCCTTCGTAGCAAAAGCTGCCTCACATTTCTGGGGAAGGGGGAGGGGTGTGGGGGGGTGTCAGGAGAGTTAAAGCTTCAGGGAGTAGGGAGAGGGGAACAAGAGGTTAAAGGAATCAGAGCCTTGGGGATCTTTGATCTGTAGGAAATGGGAGTGAAATGAAGAGGCCTTGAAGAAGGGATGAGAAAATGGAGTGAAAAAGCAAAAAGGAGAGAGAGAAAAAGGGGGTCTGAGAGGCTGAACTCAGACAACTACAATGAGGATCAAAATCATGAAAAGCAAGACAGGAGGAGGTGGGCTTCCTACCTCACATTTGAAGGGCCGTTCTGTTGAGTGCACTTGTCTGACGTGACTGTTGAGGTGATCCGGCCTGGGGATACGTTGGGGTTGGAGTTAGGGCCAGGGCCCTGGGATGTGGAGATGACCCCAAATCTGCCTTAGTACAACAGGTCTTTCCAAAGGTCCCTGCGTTTTCTCCCAAGCCTGGGGCTTTAGGATCCTAGTTAAGCAAGAGATCCCTCCCCTGGAGCAGGGCTGCCTAATCCTTGCCAAGCTTTCCTACAATCCAAGAACCCACCTCCTTTGCTAAGTACCACCCCCTGCTCCTTGGTAACCAGGAGAGGCTTTCCTCCCTCCTCCCTGGGAGTGGCTCCCAGTCCTCAGAAACCTCCTCCCTCCCTCCCCACCAGCCAAGGCCAGGCCACCTCCATCGCTGTCCCTCCCTCCCTACCCGCCCAGTGGGCGGCAGAGGCCCCGTGCACACCGGGAGAAGCTCTTGCCACAGTGGGAGCAGTTGTACGGCTTGTGCACAGCGCCGTCATGTGAGCGCACGTGGTAGCTCATGCGGTCCTTGCGCTTGAAGCGCTGCTGGCACACCGGGCACTGGTAGGGCTTCTCGTCAGAGTGCGACAGCTTGTGTCGGTTTAGGTGGTAGACGTCGCGGAAGGCCTTGCCGCACATCTCACAGGCGTGGTTCTTCCGGATGCGCTTTCCCGAGGCGGTTGTGGTCACCACGCCACCAGCAGCCACTGCGGCCGCTCCGCCGCCGGCACCCGCTTCTCCCCCTCCTCCGCCGGCTCCGCTCAGTTGGGGCACGCTCAGGAGGCTCAGGGGCACCATGGTGGGCATCTTCATAGCACCCGAGGGGACCCGGCCAGCCTTGGCTCCCGTGTGGATGGCCTCGTGCCTCCGGAGATTGTAGCCGTTCTTGAACTCCTTGGCGCACAGGGCGCAGATATAGGGCCCCTTACTCTTTGTCTTCTTCTCCAAAGCTGATGCGACTGGGGCCACCGCGACCGTCGAGGTTGGGGCTACGACGGCGGTGGCTGCGGCTGCAGCGATGGTGGCGGCAGAGACAGGGGGCGCGGCCTCGGGAA